AGCCAGAAAGGCAGGTAATCGATTAATGGAAGGGAGACTGGGTTTTCAAACCCAAGAAGATGATTCATTTATGTTTATGAATTATTAAGCATGTTCGCACGTTATATTTATATTCATAAGTTAGTTATCGAGCTCATTTTACGCAGTTGCGCCGAACACGCAGCAACACGCTGCTACGTCAAGACCAACTGCGCTCTTATTTATGCTTATAATTTTCCTCGTTGCTTGAAATTTACCTATATAGATTTTTCTAAAGATAACGTTTTTGTCGAGCGAGGTTTATATAAATCGACAGATACGTTTCTCGGTATTGCAATGTCCATTAGCGACACAGAGATTCAACGTTTGTTTCTTTCGCCCATTTATGAGCGTAATTGAACCCGTAACTCGCTGCTCGTTGACAAACTTGACTCGAAGGGACCACTTCAGTGCCTCGAGCAACAACGACAGGTATTCGAGGAGGGGCGGAAAACGCGGTGGAAATGTTCGCGTTTTCCACGGTACCCGCTTGAGACTCGAAATTAGCTTCTTTCAGCTTGGCTTCCCTCCCAGACAAATGGCGGCAGCGAGGAGGTCGGACAGGCGTCTTCGGTCTCTCTTTCCGAGAAAGAGAAAGAGAGAGAGAGAGAGAGAGGGAGAGAGAGAGAGAGAGAGAGAGAGAGAGAGAGAGAGAGAGAGAGAGAGAGAGAGAGAGAGAGAGAGAGACACGACGGGGGCTTGTCTAATGGAAACCGAGGACGCCTTAAATCCCCGCTTTGACTAATTTATTTGTTGGCCCGTTCGGCGAATCGGTGGCGGGCGCGGTCAAGACGCCGCCGTCGCCGCCACGCCGTCGCACGCTCGGAAAATCGTAATTTCAGAGACGAGCCACGCGGAGTCACCCCCGTCGGGACCGTTTACCCCCGGAGGTCACGGGAAAAATCGATGATCCATTACCGCGGTTACGATTGCTCCCCCGCGAGTCGGTACGCCAATCATTTTGCCCGGCACCGTCATATCCATTCCACGTCCATCCTGACAGTAGCTGATTTACTCGGGCGTACCCCAGAGAGTAACGTCGAGAGTAAAGCGCCGTGCTCCCTTAGTGCGCGGCGTTCGACCGGAATTCTTCCTCTCTGTGCGCGGATTGCAACTGCGCGATATAATCACGCAACCGGCCGTCGGTCGGGATCCGCCGGGAGATCATGTCGCGGCAACGTGATCGAACGCCGACGATAAACCACCGTTACTCTGGCATAATTATCGTCACATGCAAATTTCTCGATCGTTACGTCAGTATGGAGACTTACAACGCTTCTTGTGACTTGCCGCAACGTTGAGACATTTCTCTTTTTATTATTCAAAGTGACGCTTTCGATTTCTTTGAAATTTTCAGTCTGGAAAAGTCTCAAAGTCTCACTAGAATATTATTCTCTCTTTCTTCTTCCCTTCCTTTCTTTTTTTCTTCGATATGCAACCTCTTCTGCATCAAATTTTTTGTTCGAAAAGTCAATCAACTTCTCGAACGTCACGTCTTTTTTCGGATATTTTTATTTACGAGACTTTTAGCCTCGCGAGAGATTCAGTCGAGCGCGTCAACGGTATTATGTAAGAGCAAATGCAAGGAGTTAGCTATTGATATATTAGCCTTTTAATAGATTTCAGCTTCGGTTACGTGATATAGAAAAGAGATTGATCGTTGCTGCTTGCATCATTTCATTCAGGGAACGATAATCAATATGCATACAGCGACAGGATTACCGTCGATTTTGAATAAAAATGCATCGATAGCTTTGTATGGTACGTGTGCAGTGACAGGTTCGATTTCAACCCGACAGTTCTAATCCACTCCGCAAGCCCCGGCGATTCGGTCGATATGTAGGTAGATGCATTCGCCCGATCGGAATTCTTTTACGGCCCAGTTTGCATTTCACAATCTATTCCGAGTGAGGCATCGGCCACGAAGGCATTTTTATCAAAGTGTCCTTCGGGTAGCGCGCGCACGCTGTCATCTATATGCATTACCCCGTCGAAGGAAAGCTACAGTATTGTTTTGTCTACGTAGTACTTTAATACAACATGTCGTTCATGTTATCAAGCATCCTCTTTTTCATTTTCATTTATACTAGCTCAAATCTTTTCATTACATCTCGTAACATGATGAAATACGAGTAACGATTCGAACTCTCTGTGATCAGTCTTTTATTAAATCAAATATTAATCCACTTATACACACAGAAGGCATATAAAATCGATTATTATATTATTTAATTTTTCAATATTTTTCTTTAAAAAGTAGAAAAAAATCGTAATACGTTCTTCTCGAATTTGTGTCTATTGTAAGCGCCTATTATATAAAGAGTAGATATCGTGAGCTATCAAAGCCTGTTTTGACAATTTGTACATATGTTGAGTGGATTAATTATATACTATGTAACTTTATTATTAATATAAGTATTATAGAGTGAAAGAAAAACAATTTCTTAACTATGCGTGCGCGTATAAAAAGACACACGTAAATAAATTTAAAATCATATTTGTGACTGCAATCTGTTAAAAAATGGCGCACGCGTCTGGATTCTAATCAAAGTAAATCAAATATTATTTTTATGATATATTATAAATTATTGACTTAATTATCTTATTGAAGTTAAACTGATTGTAATTATATTTTATAAAATGTTAAGTAAGTATTAAATATTAAATGTGACATTAGATATTTCTAAGCATGTATTAAATACAAAAGAAATTTTCACGGCGTACATTGTTCCGCCACTAAAATCTCGGTAACATTATGGAACAACGTATCGCACGGCAGTTCCTTTTTGTTAATGCGATATAACTCTTACGTAATATCGGCTCGATCGATAGTATTTCGCACTCGCAGTGCGTAGCATGTGTTTGACAGGTGACGGCGCAATTGTTTGTCGTTAAAGGTTCGGCGAAAAAAATTCGGTGCCGTTTCCATTAAACGCGGCTACCCGCTGAACAAAAATTGCGCTTTTCCGCCAGCTGGTCGCCTGATATTAACAACGTAACAATGCGCACTCGTGAGATCTCTCTCGGAAAAAAAAGTGGACCGCGATAGACGCGAGCTACAAAATTGTTTCCATTTTAGTTGCGTGTGAACGCACGCACGCACGCACATACGCATACACGCACGGATGCACCTACTTACCCTTTGCTCTTTACAAACACCGCGGATTATCCGCCGTAATTCGAACATATAAGAAAATTAAAACAACAACGAGACGTAATCTAAAATCGCCCTCTGTCTTGCGAGAGAATCTCTTCTTGAAAGAAGACACATATTAGAAGAAGAGATTCTTAATTGCCGTTTTCAAAACAGGCATTAATTACACTTACACGATGTTTACTCATAAATTAAGAGCGGCGCGATTATCTTAGTCAAATGCAAATGCTTAACGATGAAAATGCATGAAGATGCAAAGAGGACGGAAGTTTGCTAATAACGTCGTCAACCGACACGGACTTTGCCCCTGTCGGTTTACGTAAAATATCGTTGACTGCGCGGTAACGTTCCAATTATCGATATTTTTCTTTCTTTTTTTTCGTATATCGTCGTGTTATTCGATTGTGACATTTCTTGTGATGTATGACATCTTTTTCGCATAGCGAAATGGGAAGCATATCGTACGTTTGGTATAAGCGCACCACATGTACGCAACGGATCGAAACTGGGCTGAGCGTGTTGTAGTTAATCTAGGATAAGGGCTGTACATAAGTGCACATGCATGATACGTGGCGCTAAAGATCCATCCGACACACAGACGCGCATCCCTGGATTTATAGAGCGCCGGCGGAATCGAGGAGCCCCCGACTCCGCGGGTCGGCGGATCGTAAACACCACCGATTTCTCAAGCCAGTGGGAATGCAAAGCGAACCGATCGGATCCGGCGTAATCTCCAGTAATTGTGACGGAGTGAGCAAACGTTAACCGCTAATATCGTTGCTTGGATAGATCAAAACGTAATGTGTATGTATTCTTAATATGAGAGTTGCAATATTACATGTACCCGATAATTACATCGCAGATTTTATCGCGGTTTTAAAGAAAAATCATTGACGCTTCAGATGTCTAATTATCAAATAAATCTATGAGATAATTCTGCCCCGAGAAATTTTTACTTTTATATATATAATATACAAAAAAAAAAAGAAAAAAAGATTTCTTCTTTTATTCGGTTTTCCATGCAGCTCTAGAAAAAGATTTTAAAAAGCCCCGAAGTCAAGTCCCGAAAACCTTTTAATATAAAAATATTGAACTCTCTTACCGAGCATAATGGAAATTCATCTGGAGTCAATAACCTGCAACTGCATATCCCTGTAGAGTAAAGTAATCGAAATGTAAGGCCTTTAGACGATCAATAAACATGGGAATAAAATTGTTGCATTGCATATCACACACACGTAATTTATTCGGTAAAATAATCTTTTTTTTTATAAAACGTCAAGTTTTATATTTTATACAATAAGATACATTATTTCTCACAGTCACATTAAAAATCACGCAATATCAATATCTTTTTAATTCATAATACTTATTGATATTTAATACTTCGAGATACAATGGTGTACCTAATGCCTCGAGAATGAATATTGTTAACCCTCTTTTTGTTAATAAAAAACAAAAGTTCCATTTATGAAGAAACTTCTGCTCTGATTTGTAATGCTTTAAGGCCGGTTTTCACACGCAATGATTAGTGGCGCCAACTGACTGGCATTCATTGGCGCCAGAACCGACTAGCAAACTCACAAGTATTTACACAGTGATTGGCGTATACTATGGAAAATATTTAACATTTATTAAACACACAGTAAATGACAGCAAGCATATAACCTCCAAATTTGAGGTTATATGCTTTGGCCAACAACCGCCAGTAAACGCCACATTACTAGCGCCAGTTTGTATCAAGTGTTTACACTTGCATTTTTACTGGCGTTAGTCGACTGGCGCGGCCTGGCGCCACCAATCATTGCGTGTGAAAACCGGCCTTTACACTCTCATTAGATACGCCATTGTTTCCATTATTGTATATGCGCATATAAGAAATTACAGTAAAACTAAAAACGGCTACACATAAGATACGCATAACACTCAAACACATATACGTCGTGAGAATAATTGAAACTAAATTACCACAACGAATCAACAGCGGATATAATTTACGTCACGTCAGTAAATTACAAGATGAAAATACCAAGAGCTCAGAGTAAAAATAAAGCTCGTGTCATATACTGAACGGTCAAACTACGCTATATAACATACATGGTGAACATTCGATGTTTTGTGAATGTTTTACGTTGACAGGTGCGCGATGGCGGTCCATGTACGTGCAAATCGTCCGCGCATCGCTACGTAAAGCAAATCACGGGGTGGCACATATAGAACAGTGACATTTGCATTTTTCTTCATACATCTTTACCACGCTCATACGTGCTGTGAACTTTGCGAAATAATTAGGTGAAATGAGCCGCGATTTATTTTTAAGAATGGTAGAGGAAAAAATGGTAATATGGACCTCCATTTTGATCTTTTTGTGTAAATTTTTATTTTTTATTAATTTAAATTTAACATCAAATGCTTTAACTCTGAGGACGAGCGTGGCCTAGTAGACAGCGCACTGGTCTATTGAGCCAAAGGTCTCGGGTTCGATTCCCGGTAGAGTTAGAAAAATTTTATTCGCTCATTCTCCTCTCGGAAGGCAATGGCAAACCACCGAGAGTATGTCTCGCCAAGAGAATTTCTCTAAAAAATATAGCCGTTCGGAATCGGCGTTGAACTGTAAGTCCCATGTACAATGTGTATAATCTACGTGCGCAACACATGTATATGAAGAGAAGTCACCACGCTCGGGCACGAGTAATAGGACTGAGGATGATGCTTTAACATAAAACACAGTTGAAAAATGAAGAAAAAGATGGTTAAATAATAAGAAAAATTATTTAAATAAAGAAACCATGACGCGCAAATATCGGGATGTAGTGGTAAAGTGAGTCCCCCCCCTCCCTCTCCTGTGTTAGTAATGTGGGCCGAAGCCAATTTACCAATACACAAATTTCTACACAATTACATAAAATTTATTATGTGCAAAAATCACATAAAGTAATTTTTCCGCTCCAACGCATGCAGTGTGAGCCCACATTACCAACAGCTGAGCCACATTACAGCTGGCACACTGTACCACTTTTCACCATAATGGTCATCTAATTACCATATTCCTAATTTGTTTTCCAAATGCTCTTGCAAAACAGACTTTCTTTCTACAGCTTTTTGTATGGATATCAAAACTTCGATAGGAATACTAACGTCACGTACAAATCGCTGCCAGTGAACTATATACTATAAATGTAAACTACATATCATACTTAACGCCCGGACATGGGCAGCAGGAAGAAAAAGATGGGTTGATTAGGGATCATTTCTGTCTCTGTTCAGCGAATTTTGATTGGTTTTCTATTGTTCTCGAAGAGTACAACAATAGAAAAAGACGGGCTAGTTATAATTCTCCATCCCTTTCGTCCCATTTTCTTCTATAATAGAGTTCACATTTCAGTATAGTTCGCTGCAAAGTTGTTCTAGGTATTGTAAATTCCTTCACCGTTCTCTTCAGACTCATTCTTCTCGCACAGGTGCAATAGCCTTACGCATATCGTTTGGTGTCCATAATCTCGACTTCGGTTTCGGTTTTGGTTGGCGATAATGTATCTTCTTCTTATTTAAAAAAAACCACAAAATTTTTTAACTAAAACGCTCTATAATGTGGGCCGGAGACCCACAATACCGCTATGAGACCCACAATACCGTTATGGGGTCCAATATAGAAATATTATCAAAATTTACATTTACTTAATTATATCCTAGCGAAAACATAGTTATTCAAGTTTATTTAAAACAGAAGAACAGCAGCCTGAGAATTGATATAGGGTACAAAGTCGTTAATTACGAACTTTAAACCACGTTAAACTTGTATTGATACTCAATACCAATTGACAAAACTTTGACGTACGTCTGTAACAGATAACTCTATTGTTAACAAAAAAAGTTACGTCAGTCGTAGCGGCAACTGTTTCACAACTTCGACACCTGCGCTGAGAACAAATTAAAAATCCTTCGCAAGAAATAGCGTTAATTATAATATAATTTTAAATAAGGCCTATATTATCAGCAAGGAGCTCACATTACTACGTTCTGTTCTATCCATTTTCAACATCGCGCGAGTATCGCGATTCGCGCAACGGATAGCGCGTGATGAAGGTATACAAATATCGTAAATACGACGGACCAGCGGAAATCCGATCTGTTTCCACTTAACACCTCGCGAATTGCACGCGCATGCACGTCGAGGAGATTTCGGAAGATTTCGAGATACCGTGGGAACACCAGGACTTTACTAGAAGATATTATAATCCTTCTCTTCCGCGCGCGCGCGTGGATAAACGCGGGGAGTAAGACAAATGACGACGGGCGTAGCGGCGGCGGTGGAGGGTAAACAGTTACGGGGAGGAATATGCCGTGCTTATTCAAATCGCCGACAGATAAAATCTGCGAGCGTGCGTCGCGCTCGTTGTTGCGGCGAGCACGGCGGGATTTCGCCATTCCCCTCCTTCCCATCAATTGTGCGCCCCCGTGTATTTTAGTCGAGTCTCGTGAAGGCCACCCCCTTATCTCTGGCGTCACCGGGTGCATCTCGGGGCCGCCACCGTTAGTAAACTTTTAAAAGCTATCGCCGTTCTTCCGGCACGGAGAGAGACAGGGGGAGAGAGAGAGAGAGAGAGAGAGAGAGAGAGAGAGAGAGAGAGAGAG